CGTCCAGAAGACTTACAAGTAAGTCGTCCAGAAGACTTACACGTAAGTCGTCCAGAAGACTTAGAAGTAAGTCGTCCAGAAGACTTACAAGTAAGTCGTCCAGAAGACTTACAAGTAAGTCGCCCAGAAGACTTAGAAGTAAGTCGTCCAGAAGACTTACAAGTAAGTCGTCCAGAAGACTTACAAGTAAGTCGTCCAGTCCAGAAGACTTACAAGTATGTCGTCCAGAAGACTTACAAGTAAGTCGTCCAGAAGACTTACAAGTAAGTCGTCCAGAAGACTTACAAGTAAGTCGTCCAGAAGATTTATAACTAAGTCGTCCAGAAAACTTCCAGATCTGAAAAAACCTGCATTTCAAACCCAGATCTAAAAAATCTGCATATCAAAAAACATTCAAATGGCTTAAAACACACAGAAAATGAGTGAATGGTTAGATATATATATATATATACTTTTTTAGAAAACATAACATACATCCAAATGAAGATGAGAACCATCTGATTAAAAACCTGCAAAAAAAAAAGATAGATTAGTGAGAAAAACATGAGACATAACTGAAAAATTCATATAAAGTTAATAGATCCATCTTTAAATGAGTGGAATATGAGAATCATGTGATGAAAAACCTACAAAACAAGTTAAGTTAATGAGAAATACATGAGACAAAAACAATAAATTGATAAAAAAGTTTGGTGTTTATAAGTTCAAAGAGATTATAGAGAGATTGGAGAGTTCTAGAAAGATGAACATTACATTTTTTGTTGCAGACATTTGAGAGGAGGAGAGAGAATGTGTAAATTTTTCTTTATATAGGGAAACAAAAAAAAATTAGGTTAAATATTTTTGTTTCAGATGACTGAAATGTAAGTTGTCCAGGAGACTTTAATAATTTTAGCGGGAAACTAAAATATTTTTAGCGGGAAACTAAAATAGAAAACTTTTGAGAAGACTTACAAGTAAGTCGTCCAGAAGACTTAGAATTAAGTCGTCCAGAAGACTTACAAGTAAGTCGTCCAGAAGACTTGCAAGTAAGTCGTCCAGAAGACTTACAAGTAAGTCGTCCAGAAGACTTACAAGTAAGTCGTCCAGAAGACTTAGAAATAAGTCGTCCAGAAAAGTTATAACTAAGTCGTCCAGAAGACTTACAAGTAAGTTGTCTGGTTTAAATTATTCAAGCGGGAAAATAAAATTTTAAAAAATTTTAGGCGGGAATATTAGTACGACTTACTTGTAAGTCGTCTGTGTAAAATTATTTACCAGACGACTGATATTTCAGTTGTCCAGACCCTAAACCCTAAACCCTAAACTAAATTGACTAAATTAANCTCATCTATGCTGAAAACAACTAACTTTTGTTATATCTTAATTTATATCTCTTAAGACATATGTTAATTACATAATCCCAATTTTTCATTTATCAAGATATTTATTACAGAATTTTTAAATTATTTTTAAGAAAAACTGTCCCAGACGACTTTAAATTAAGTCGTCTGGACGACTTTAAGTTAAGTCGTCTGGACGACTAAGTTAAGTCGTCTGGACGACTTTAAGTTAAGTCGTCTGGGCAGACGACTTACGAGGGCTAGAAACGTAAAAAAAAATACCATTTTTTTGTTTGTTCACAAGGGGTTGGTTGTAATTTCAATAGCCTTTTAAGTTACTTTTGCATTTGATTCAAGTTTGGGTTTACTTTTGCATTTCAAATCAAGTTTTGAGTCATATTTGGCAATTTTCCCTTATTTTGAACCCACAATCCGGAAAGGACAGAAACTTTACTCCACACTACCTTCTAACTATACACAAACTTACTCCTAAAAAACATCTACGACTCAAACAACTAGAAGCTCCTCATCCAAGTTCCTAGCAAAGTGATATCCCTCCTACGCGAATTATGAGCTCTAGAAAGTGGGTCCAAACGACCCTGCACTGTCTGCTTTATCTCAAAAATCACAGCTTGTGATGTTCTTGCCGAGGCTACACTGTTCAAGGGAGCATGAATCCTTGCATTTATCTCCTTCCAAATACAATAGATCAAAGCTTGATACACCAACTTAATGATCAATGACACAAACTCATCAGTAGCAGACGCGTTCAACCATCTTAAACCATCATCAAACAGCGTAGGAGGAGTAAGATGTAGCTTAGAGCATAAGAATGACCAAACCGCGTTGTCTTGTTTCATCTGCTTGATTGAAAAGAACACAGTTAGAAGGAATTTGTAATCCCCACCTCTCAGTCTATCCCTCGTTCCCAACCTATCTCGAGCAAGAATCCAAGTAACCCAAGTAAACCGCAGTATATTTTTTTATTGTCTCATATTTTTATGTTTTATTTTATGAAATAATTATATTATTTTGATGGTATATATTAATTAGGTATTCAATTGAAGTATCTTTCCGATAATGTTGCTCTAAGAATTAACACTAAATTAACCCTATATTTATTATAAACTAAATTTAACAAGCATGCATAACCAAACAATTACTTTCAATGCACGGTACGATTTCTATCAAATGGCTCCCCAAGCATGAACCAGATGATCACTCAGACTCCACTATGGTTTCAAGAAACGTAAACATCAATTCTCTACACGAGCTACCATTATCGTATCCTTGAGACTATGAGTTTCCTCTCTCATCATCACATTCATCAATATTACTTAAGACTCGCTACACGAAAAAAAACTGTCAAATGTGTTTTAGTGCAGTTGTCTTTTTTTTGTGTGGATTCGTGATTGGTGTAAATTTGGTAGGATTGCGAAAGGTCCTCGCTTTTAAAGACTACCTTGTGTACAGAAAGGGACATATATATGCTGATGACTGCCTCGTTGACAGAGTTACTCAGCTTATGCTTCTGTCTTGCCTTCTAGTCTCATAGTTCTTGGTGTATATGTTTTACCTTTTGTATTGATATGCTTGCTCTTGTTATGTACAAGCATAAATGCTTCATGGTGGCTACTTGTGATAGTTCAAATGTTGTGATGTCTGAGCGATTTTTGTTCTCTGAGTTTGTTAATCTGCTGTCTAATACAAATCCCTTTTTAATAGCAATTTATATTCTTGATCTACCACAGTTTTGTTACTCACGGACCATAATCATGTCTTATTTGAGTTCGTACATGACATTAATGTTGGAACAATAATAGTTCACGTGAAAAGAAAACGTGTTGCAAAAATAAAAGAAAGGTGAGCTTCGTTATCAGTGGAGAGAGTTGGTTGTCTCACGAGACGTAACCAGCTCTAAGCTTTGGAGTTTTTGGTTTGACGAAGAACGCAGACATAACATTTTTTGTCCGTACAGGGGCTTGAATGATATCTGGTCGTGGTTTGTCCTGTGACTTGTGTGACATCGTAAGTTTGGGAACTTCCATGACCTGATGAACAACAAACTTGCCTCATCAGGAAAGTGAACTTTATATTTGCTTCATGTAGTGTCTAAGATTTTACCTTATGGGCATCACCATATGTCTGCCTTGTGATACTGGATGTTGCAGGAACACCAGAGACCTGATAACCTCCGAGTAAAGGCTTCTTGTTTATTATATTATCTTCATCACCTGCAAGAATCTCAATGTATCATCAAATAGTCTAAATCTATTTACTATGTTTTCTCGTACCTGAAAGATGGAACACTCCAGATGTCTTTGTAAAAGTTTTTGAATCTTTGGAGCTGCACAAGAGCTATGTGTTAGCTGATTAGTTATCAAGAACGTGTGTGTAAACAGTACTAAGAGGCTCACCTTGGTGCAACAGTGGTTATTCCTTTCAGGGTAGACTTTGTCTCTGAGCCTAAATGCCAGGAGAGTGATTTCGATGAAGGCGCGTCTAAGTGAGTCAAACAAAACATTACTTAAACAGTTCAATTTATCACTTTAACTAGTATATCAAGATGAGGAGATAACACCTGAAGGTTGAAGACGGGATATAGCTTGATGATGATTCTGTATAGTGTCAGTTCGTTTGAGAGGACTAAAGTGTACCCGCTTGTTAACAGAATCTGGCCACAGCCAAAAAAAAAGAGGGAATCAGATTACTATTTGATTAAGAGAATCTTTTTACCAAGAGCCAAGAAAAAAAACACTTACTAGGTAGAGTGTAATGCTTGTGATGCATTGGGATAACTGCTAAAAGCTGTTGCTGTCTAAGACCTTCTTTGTCTATATATGTCCGGCTTGTAAGCAGTTGCTGACAAAATGAACACACATGCAATCATTTAAGGAAAAAAAAATGTGTACAAAAGGTTAGATCAGTGTTGCCAAGTCTTGTTACCTGGCTAACACAAGAAGCTCTCAACTCCATATTTGATATATCTAAACTTTGGTGATCAAAGAGATCAGTAAGCTTAGAAGCAACAGTTCCCAAGTGATCAACAGCATTAACCAGAGCCTTTACAGTGTAGTCCTTTAAATTGTCCAATACCCTAACAGAAACAGTGTAAATATATAACCAATCATCATTCAAAGCTGTTAGTAGTTTAAATATAAAAGGAGAGTTTTACACATACATTTGCTTTTGTTCGCTATGTAGATAAGACTTTTCACAGTAATCCGCAGCAGAGTAAAGTTGAGGTCTCAAGTTCTTAAGCTCCTGTTACATAAAAAGTAAAAGTGTTACAGACAGTAATACACAAGATTTTTGTCAGTCTGAATCACAAGCTAACATCCAATGGTAGATGAAAAGTCAAAAAACTATAAGTCAAACCATTGTCTTGATCCTAAAGAGCTATTAATAACACAGAGACAATCTTAAAGAGGTGTTATAACACTAACCGACAATCATCTGATCTCGGTCCCATGTAGTATTAACTTACACACACTTAAACCACACACACTAAGTTTTTTTTTGTATTAATGGACCACAAAGCCTAGAGCATACAACGAGATCATGGATCTGGCTCAAATAAACCAATGTCATTGTGATCATACCTGCTTAACTTCTGTAGAGAATCTAGTTAAACAGGACAAAAGAAAAACAGAACACAGATATTAAAAAAAAAGGGGAACCTGCAAGGCCTTAACGAAGCTCGTGCTGTGTTCCATAGAAACCTCTTCAAAGGTCATTGCTGGATCATCCCTCACCGAAGCTTCCGTTTCCATTTTTAGCTTTTTCTCCTTGTCTTCTCTAAGGATTTGTGTGATGTGAGGTTAGACTTTCTGGTGAGAGACAGCTAAAGCTAACTTGAGAAAGAAAGAGAGGAGAGTGAAGTAGAAGTGATTCCAAATGGCATTTTTCCTTTCTGAGTGAGTACAAACGAATACTAGAAAACGACTTTGGGAAAGATGCACTATGTCTTTTTATTTTATTTATTTTTATTTATATAAAAATATAATAATAATAAATTAAATTAATATTTTTTGTCTACTATAACATTAAAAATATGAAATCTGTAATTCTATAAGTATAGTACTTCAAGATATATAAAAAAATGTTCACATGTCTTGTATATGCTTTGGATGTGGTAGTTGACATCTAACAGATAAAATAATTAAGATGAGATTCTATTCGCATGCATTTTAAAATTAACAACTCTTTAAAAGGGAGGTGGATCTAGTTAATCTAGGCATAGCAATTCGTATGATCGCATCCTTAGATCCACACGTGTGGATTAGCTGTCCAAAGGGAGCTGCCGATTTGCAGGTGTTAAGGCCCATGGCTCCTTTCATATCATTTTCGCCATCTAACTTCCATATTAGTATTTAGAAGACTCTATCATAGTCAGTGGATCAAAATAAGCTTTACACAAGCACAGCAAAACGATGTCATGCCCATTGCAAGATCAAAAGGAAAAGATAAAATGGGCCATTATGGTGCCAAATCTAACAAATACAGCTTCTATGAGTTATAGGATCAACTTCCTATAATCAAAGAAGACAACCTAAGTTCAAGGATGGCATTGGAATAGCATTCAAGCCCAAGCTGTCAAATTTCATTTGTAGCTTTTGATTCTGATTGTTTCACCTGATGATGTTATTTCTCCTAACTAATTATGTCTTCTCTCATGTGTACTAAGATGCTATTATTATACTTTAATTTAATCATAAGGGAGAAAGGACTAACTCTAAATTGCATTAATCTATCCAAATTTTCGAATTAAAAGATACACATGCTAAACACCAGATGATTATATAGGCTTGTCTTGGTTATAAGTAATCTCCCCACTCATATCAATTTATTGCGTTTTTTCATTCTTCATCTTATATTATACACCAAACTTTAGTCCCAACCCTTTTGTTTACTCTATCTATAACCAACCAGACAAAAACTCTATATACACAACACACTAATAAGTTTCCGACGATGATGAAGAATCTCCGAACTCAAAAAACGTAGGCTTAGGTGTAGAAGGGCAGCTAATAGCTTCAACAAGCTCTTGAACACTGAGCATCTGAAACTTGGGAGGCGAGTTAATAGCAATGTTATCGACTTTGTGTACATAAATCTTCCCATTCTTATCAAACTTATACTCCGAAGTGCCATCAAACCGACCACGAGTCTCCCAGGGAACACGAGGAACTCCGTGAACAGTCCAACGGATCATGAGAGTGTTATCATTGGGTTGCCAGATACTAACGGTGTCTACGCAGAGAGCTTTGAAGAAGATCTTTCCAAGGAAACGTAACCACCAGAACATGGATTTGTAGTTATCAATTCCCATGAATGTGTTCATAGGGTCTTTGAACACAATGTCATCCCTGTGAAAAAATTAGACAAGAAGAGCTAAATAATAAAGACAGACCAAATAGTACCCTGAAGCAGTATAAAGAGGAGAGCAATTAGGATAGAGACACGACAATGAAGCAGTCAGATTAATCAAGAACTGTTGACAAAACCTTATCAGGACTGCTTTGATTCGGTATAAAGCTAATTACGAGACAAATTTAGGATACAAGACACGACTTTGAAGCAGTCAGAGTAATCAAGAAGTGTTTATTTAGGTTCTAACTTCTACGTTGTTTGTCTGATATAGGAAGAAAGAAAGTGGAACCTGTAAATGTCAAAGTTGGGGTCTTTGTAGAACAAGGAAGGAAGCTCCTCTCTGAGGCACTGAACGGCGTGACCCTTGTTCACATAGTAGTTTTCCTTATCTTCTCCTTCTTCCTCATGTCTGCTGATTTTGCAGTCTTCTTTCACCGGAGCTGAGAATTTCACGTATAATCTTGATTTCTGACACTTGACACCAATCCAATCTCTCGCGTTAACCGCGGAAACAGTAACACTCCTCCTTGTAAACGCATTAGTTACATTAGATTTCGAATCCGAGAAGTTTCCGGCCGAGACGGTGGCTATATCCGGCGATCGGACCAGGAACGCCATCGAGAATTGAAGACTAGACTAGGAAGCGATGTGAGGGATTCACGGAAGAAGACGAAAAGGGAGACGCGAGGATAGGTCACGAAAATTCTCGTAGCGATTGATAAATCTGCTTTTTATTTATTTCTGGATGACGATGAACCAGACTTTTGTAATCTTCAACGATAAAGACGTTTCGATATTTCTGATATAACAGAAAAACCTATGACGGTCCATTTATGGTTAGGCCTTCAGGTGTTTATATAGTAAAGCCCAATATGGAAATTGCACCAGTTCATTTCATTACCAATTGATAGGAGACTGTACACTTATAAATCATTTAGGAACTTTGTTATTGATTAATAACGTGGTATTTCTTTTGATGTTAACATATTTTACGTGTTAATTTGCTCTGCTTTGTAGGAATATTATTATTTGTCCGCTGGTCATTTCTGAAGAAAATGTTTGAAATTAGATTTTTTGCCGGACTACAGACTGCTTGCAGTCACCGCAAAGTTAACGAACTTACATTATTAGACCATACATTTCTAACGTAGGCAATATTATCGACCAATTATTAGGCTGGTTCCTTCTTCAACAATACTTTCAAATAAGGTCAATTGTCAAATTTCGGTGTTCAACTTCCACCAGTCAGCCTAATGGATCGCCAATAAACTTCGTTATCTTTCATGAAAGTTCTTTCCAATAAATAAAAAACAAATTGGGCAAAAAAACAAAAATGTGGGGAAGATGATTGTTGAGCTATTCAATAGAGAAATAAATCACAACTGCCCATCTGCCCCTAATAGAATTTTGCATGGGAAATCTTTCGTACAAAGCGCATTTGTTAGCACTCAGCCGATACACACAATCCCTGCTTTCCTCAAAAAGCTTTAAAAACTAAACAACATCCATCTACTATCAAAACATCCGGATTAATAAGCAATTTATCGTACATTGCACCAAAACATCATCGATTGGTTAATATAACCAATACTCCCAACAATTCAAATCGGATTACTTCAACATACATCATTTAATACTTGGGATCAAATAAATTCTGTTGAAATTTATGAGTGTGTTAAACAAATCACCTCTTTAGCTAATTGCCATACAAATGCAGATTGTGACCATAATAATAATTTGGATTTTTAATAAATGTGGGGAAGATGATTGTTGAGCTATTCAATAGAGAAAATGAATCACAACTGCCCATCTACCCCTAATATATTTTGCAATGGGAAATCTTTCGTACAAAGTGCATTGTTGGCACTAAGCCGATACACACAATCCCTGCTTTCCTCAAAACACAAACATATTCATATCAAAACTATACACCAAGAACTCACGACAATCCGATAACAGACAATCAACGATCTCTTGGAGAATAAATCTACGAAGGTTAAATAAAATTGTTAGAGAAGCCTCATTTCATGAGTATACTCGCTTCCCTGCTGGGTCCTTCGCTTTTCACAATCAATCAAAACATTTATCCGAAATTTTATCGAAAACATAATATAAATCCGGAATTAAAATCACAGATCCAGGAAATATCTCCGATAATGAATATACGAAGGTAAACTTGGCTTGAATACGCATTGATTAAAGCGTTTCACCCATAGGTCCTTCGTATTAAACTAATTTTCACAAAACAGTTATGTACGATGCTCAGCGAATACGAACCATAATATAATCGGATTTCATCTCGCGAAGACGAGAATCGCCCCACACGATCTATTAAATCATTCCGACATTAACTCTTCATTGCATCTCTAGACAAAGTAAGATAATTCAGACCAATAACCAAAGTACAAAAAGAAACACACAGAAACGGCGGGGAAGAAGAGAGATAAACCCTGTACGAGATGTGGTTGTTTGTGTATCTTTAGATGAGTTTATATAGAGGCGTTTATTAGGGCTGATGCGGCGTTTCTTGGATTGGGCCCATAATTATGGTCTTAACTTTTATTTTTAAAGCCCATATTTGTGCAATGAATCAGTACAGTTGATTGTTTCGAAAATAACAAAAATGGTATTGTTGAGGTCTATTAACTAACTGATCGTGTCTTCATTGATTCCTCTTTATATCAAATTTTGGTGACAAGTGACCTCCTTTTTTTTTTTAATTTAGACGTTTATGGCTCTGAACTCAATTAATCCCTAGAAGAAGCATTGTCAGCTATACTAATCCGTCTCCGGATTGTCTGATGAAGCTTAAGACATGGTTTTTTAGACGTTTATGGGTCTGAACTCAATTAATCCCTAGAAGAAGCATTGTCAGCTATACTAATCCGTCTCCGGATTGTCTGATGAAGCTTAAAACATGGTTTAGTTTTATGGTCTGACTAGGGGTGGGCACGGATCGGATATCCGGGTTTTTTAAGGTATTTGTGATTTACTTCGAATGTTACGGATATCTAATTTTGGTATTTGCTTTGCTTCGAAAAAATACGGATATCCGGAAAAACGGATATCCGGAAAATAAATAGATGTTTGCGGATATTTACGAATATTTACGGATATCTCATCCATTTTGATTAATACAAATAATCTTAAAATTTTGATACAAATTTGCTTTGCAAAATTATTTTTTTGAATGATATATAAAATAAAACTTAAAAGAACTAGTGAATTTATATATTTTGTAATTTTTTTAAGCTTAAGTTACAATTATAATAACACAAAATTTAAGA